TGCAGATGGTGTCTCTTTGTTAACTAAAATTATTTAATATATGCCATTTAAGAATATCAGAGAAATATGACACAATCTTTTCCCTCTAGGATTTCATATTTTATTAGAGAGGATAAGTATACTTATACATAAACAAAGGATGAGTAGTAACATAAGCCCAAGAAAAGTGGTAGAGGTAGTTCTCCTTAATGTTGATGTGTAGGGTGGGGGACATTGGAGAAGAGGATATAGAGGAGGGGACAGTTATACTGGGCCTGAACAATAAGGGAGAATGGACAGAAAATATTCTAAATGGGAGGAAGAAAATGAGCAAAGTTAGTGAAAATTCATAGTATTTTCACCTGGTCCTGTGGGTGTAGATGTATGTATTTGGAAGAGGGAGTTTTGTGGGTGGGGGAGAGTAAATAATAAGAATTTCTGGAAAGGTTGACGAGTAACAGGCTATTTTAGAGCCATCTAATATTACATCTTGTAGGTTCTTATCCCCAGGGTGACCTTCCATTTTCATATGTTTATTCAGTAGATGTAGATTTTTATTATGCTGTTTGAACAAATACACTCCTAGAGAGTCTCTAATTATGGAATGATGAGTGTTATTAGATCTGTCTGACACTATCTTGTAGTTTGCTTAAAACCAAGTGAAGAGGGGTGTTAGAGATAGTGTATCATTTATTCCATTGATAAATTCCTGTTACTTAGGCATTGCATTTTTAATAAGAAAACATAAATGGTGTTCTATAGAAGTAATTCTTTAGGTATTTGATTACTGTGGTGAATTGGCTCATTTATCTCAATTTGTATGTTAGTTATATAATGTGAATGTAAGAGAAAGTGTTAAAAAATAGATGAAAAATCCATCAGTAGTGTTCTGTATTAAAATACATATTATATTATTTTTCTATTGCTTCACATTACATATTTTCTCTAGTGCTATCTTTAATCTTGTTTTGAAGATAATAAAAACTGATGAACTCTTAAGTGGTTTTATGAGTTCCCTATTGATGACAGGTTTTTGAGAAATATGAAAACCAATATTAGTCATGCTTACTTGACTTCTTAGAAATATTTATTTTTATTTTTAACGTCTGTGTTGAGTAAGAATATGGGGTAATGTACAAAGGTTGAAAATTTTGATACTTAAAATTTCTTTTGGAAGTCTAATTTGTTAAGAAATATTTTAGCATATACTCTTATTAAAGAGTATTTGTTACTTTAAATCTATTAATATTTTGCATGCTAATTTTATAGCATATGATAATTGGTACTGTAAAAACTGCTGATAGTTTCCATATAGGAGAAAACCTTGAATGCAACATAGTGAGCATCATCTCTACAAAAAATAGAAAAATTAGGTGGGCATGGTGGTGCACCTGTAGTCCCAGCTATTATGAAGGCTGAGGTGTGAGGATCGCTTGAGCCCAGAAATTTGAGGTTGCAGTGAGCTATTATGACACCACTGCACTCTAGACTGGGCAATAGAGTGAGTCCCTGTCTCAAAAAAAAAAAACAAAAAACAAACCCAGAGGCAAGACAGATTGAAAATGAAAGGATAGGAAATGACATAGCAGCCAAATACTATCCAAAAATAATCTGTATTTTTAGTATAAAAATGAGGCAAAATAGAACTAAAAGCAAAAGCATTAATGGAGATATATAATGCAGACACTAAATAATAAAAGTACAGTTTTCCAGAGAATATAGAATGACGTTTTATGCACCTAACAACCTTGAAATGTGGTCAAGGATGAGAAAAAGCTTCAAATTGGATGTTCGAATGTCAACATTACTGAAATTATTCTGGTAGATTCATGTAAAACTGCTCACTAAGTATGTAAGACGGTATACATTGTTTTTATGCACACATTTAATATCTGCAGATATTGCAGATATTGATAAACACCTAGTTGAAAAGGAAGTCTCAACAGATTTCACAGCATCACTATCATATACATCATCCTCGTTGACCACAAAGCGATTCAATTAGAATGTAATTATTGATATATTTGAATTTTCACCTATGATTTTATTTTTTGTTTTACCTTTGTGAGTTCTGTTTTTTGTTTCTCTTTCACCTCTCATGCCTACTGTTTACTTTTCAGAGCCCTGAAGTAGCTGCTCCATACATTCTCTCCAGGTTTTATTGCTGCGTTCACTGGGAAAGACAGGGTGGAGTGCTTACTTTATCTTACCCGGAACTGGGACCTATTAACATTTTGGTATACAACGTCTTAAGAGACTCTTTTCTTTCTGTGTACACACACACACACACA